ATAAAACCCACCAGGATGATACATGTGTATATATAATTCTAAGGGTGTGATTACATATAAAATCACCTGGTATTATTCAGAACAGACTGCTAACTGGGGTGGTACCTCTGGGGAAAGGAAGAAAAATTGGGGGGAGAGAGGAATGGGAAGGTTGACATTTTTCATTTTACTCTGTGTGCTTTTGGGGATGCCACTGATTCCAAGTGATCTGATAAAGATATACATCACTGATAATGTTGCTATCTTACTATTTCCTACTAGGAGGATTTGGCCTAATTAAGAACCACTTTTAAGAAGTCTATTTCCCAAGGAATCAATTCTCTATATAAACACGTAGTTCCATGGCATAATTCTAGAAAGCACACTGTAACAAAACTACAGTATCTACTTTTTCACCCCTTCCAAAGTTATAAGCAGGCAATTAAATTTGATTCCCCAGTGATGAATGATAGAAAGTAAATTAAACCCACCCAGCATGAGCTGAAGTGTTTAAGGTTCTAACAGCAGACAATAACTTAGTTAACAACACTGGAAAATTCCCTCAGCGCATATAGAAACTGGATGACTCGACTGACATTACAGCTGAACTCTACCAGGAAAGGTTTGTTAGTTGTAGTGGATGGAGAAAATGACCCAGATCTGAGGGATATCGGGAATTGTATTTGTCCTCTCAACATACAGAGTGCACTATTGTACTACTTTTTTGGGTTGAGAGTTGTTTAGGAGTGGATGGTTTGAGAGATTTAAATGTATCCACTTATTTTGTGCTTTATGCTGCCTCATAAATCACCTATAAACTGTTGCTTAATTTAGGCCCAGAATCAGATTGGTATCACACATATTAATTATAATGGGAAAATACTGATGCATAAATTAGATACTTGTTATGGAAATTTTCAAAGTAAAATTATGTAGGAATATATATTTATACCTATTACCTAACTTCAATAATTATCATCTGTGCCCATATTTACTTCACTCCTTCCTCTCCTGGATTTTTTAAATTTTGAATTTTCTTCAGTGCACGTTTCATATTTTTATGATTTAGGCCTTTTGTAACTGATAGTAATAAAGATGGTTGTCTTCAAGGGTCAAGCCCATGCCTTTGGTGTTATTTAACGCTAGGGGCCTAGTGCACGAATTTGTGCACCTTGAAAGGAACTGTGGGCTGCGAGCCTGCGGTGGGCACAGGGGCGGGTCTCGGCCCATCCTTCGCGCCCCCCCCCCCGCCCCTCCTGCCGAAGCCCCTGGTCCCCCATCTGCTGGCAGCCCCGCTCCTGCCATTGCCGCTCGCACACGCTGATGGTGTGGAGTGATTGGGGCTGGCGCCAGCAGCGGGTATGAACAGGGCTGGCGCTGTCAGTGGGGACAAACGGTGGCTGCTGCCCCAATTGCCCCTCAGGAGCAAGGGGAGATGGAGAAGCCCTCAGGGGCGATCGGGGCCAGCAGCTGCCGCTCACTGCGTCGAGCAATCTGGACCAGTGCCGGGCCCCGGCAGCAGGTGTGAGAAGTGGCTCCAGCACCGGCTGCGGGTGTGAGCGGGGCCAGCGCTGGCAATGGGTGTGAGTGGGACCGTTGCCGGCAGTGGGTGTGAGAAGCGGCTGCCCGCCCCCATCGCCCCTCAGGACCAGGGGGAGATGGAGAAAGCCTGAGGGGCGATGGGGGCCAGCAGCTACTGCTCGCACCCGCTGATGGTGCCAAGTGATCAGGGCCGGCGCCAGGTGCCGGCAGTGGGTGCAAGCAGTGGCTCCGGCACCGGCAGTGGTTGCGAGAGGGGCCAGTGCTGGCACCAGGTGTGAGCGCCAGGCGGAACCGCAGTGCGCAGGAGCAAAGAATTTTCAATAACCACCAGAGGCTTGCCTCGATGACAGCGACCAGTGCTCCGGCTTGGTCTGGTGCCCCCGCTCACCTGTTCCACCATCACGCTGCGGCCGACGCCCACCATGTTCCACGCTTTGCCACCTGCTGCTGATGCCCACCATGTTCCACTCGCGCCCCGTGGTGGTCAGCGCACATCATAGCGACTGTTTGTTTGGTTGTTGGGCACTCGGTCTATTTGCATATTAGCCTTTTATTATGTAGGATTGTTCTTAGATATATGTTGGGGAGGTGAACACTCCTCTGAAATGTGAAAGGCAAAAGCATTGCATTCATTCATTCATTCATACATTCATTTAAATGTTTTTTATTTTAGAGAGAGAGGAAGGGAGAGGGAGAGAAATACTGATATGAGAGAGAAACATTAGTCAGCTGCCTCCTGTGCGTGAGAAACATTGATTGTCTGTCTTCTGTACTTACCAACTGAGCCACACAGGCCAGGGCAAAAGCATTGTTTTAGATTACTTTCTGTCCAAGGCCTCTTCTAGGCTGATTTACTGGGATTCTGATTGAGTAACTCAGTTTGGTCTTGCCCTGGATGGAGTAGCTTCTTTTTTTTCCTCTCTCTCTCTCTTTTTTTTTTTTTTTTTTTTAGGAGTAGCTTCTTAATGTCTCTGGACATCAAGGGATTTAAATGTAGGGTGGGATTGGTTAAGTTTTTTGCTTAGCTGCTGGTGTGCTGAGGTCCTAGCCAAAAGAACTGTTTCCATTCTATTTTTTTAAAAAAACAAGTACTATTAAGTGGAAACTCTTAACTGAAAACTGAATAATACTTAAAACAGCTCAAATTTACATGAAGAAAATTCCATAGAAGAGTAACACTATTGAGGAATGTCCTATTTATGAATATTTTTTCTTATTTTACTGGAGAGGCTAATTAAAACTCATGTATACTTTAAAATTCTAGTCGATTTATGTGCTCCTGGCATATATAGACACACAGAAAGTAAACCTTGGCAAAAGTCAGTAAATATTTATTCATCCCTGTGGCTTACTCAATGAGGGAGGTGTTTACAGACAGACTGATGACTAAGATGGGTTCCTGCCCTTAAACTGTGTGGGTTTAAAATAAATTTTTTTAAATGGGTGATAACGACACGTCTCCCTTTCTTTATAAAAGTCAGTTTGCTAGTACAGTAATTCCTCACTTAATATCATTGATGGGTTCTTGGAAACTGTGCCTGTCAGCGAAGTGATGTATAAGAAACCAATTTTACCATAGGCTAACATATAAATAAGAGTTAAGTTCCTATGGCATATTTCTGGTCACAGAAACATGACCAAACTGCTATATAAAGACCCAAAACACTTCTATTAGTAAACATTGAAATAAATGTGAGCTATACAGACATTTAAGAAAGATGAATAGCCCTGGCTGGTTTGGCTCAGTGGATAGAGCGTCAGCCTGTGGACTGAAGGGTCCTGGGTTTGATTCTAGTCAAGGGCACATGGCTAGGTCCCCAGTAGGGGGTGTACAGGAGGTAGCCGATCAATGATTCTCTCTCATCATTGATGTTTCTATGATGGATTCTCTTTCCCTCTCTCTTCCTCTCTGATATCAATAAAAATAGATTTTTTTTAAAAAATGCTAAAAACAAATAAGATAATTTTAGTTTCTAGCCTGCTTATTCCACTTCAGGATGGCATGTGTCCAGAGCCTCTCCCCACAGCTCAAGGTGCAAGGCTGGAACCCACCCTGGACAGGACACCCTTCCATCTCAGGGACGGGGACACACACACACACACACACACTCTCAGACTGGGGAAATGTAGACACTCCAGTTCACATGACATGCACATCATTGGGATGTGGGAGGAAACCTATGGAGACATGGGGAGAAGTTGCAGACTCCAGACAGACAGTGGGCCCTACTGGGGATCAATTTTTTTCTTCTCGTCAACATCATAACAAAACTGTTATTGGAGGACCTACTGTACTTTCTTAGCATTTCTGTGTTTAGAGGCTCCAGAACTGGATAGGTATTAAGCCCTTTATTTGTTTATTTTTAAATTTTTATTGATTTCAGAGAGAAAGGGAGAGGGAGAGATAGAAACATCAATGATGAGAGAGAATCATTGATCAGCTGCCTCCTGCACACCCTCAACCGGGGGTTGAGCCCGAAACCCGGGCATGTGCCCTTGACCAGATTCGAACCTGGGACCCTTCAGTCCTCAGGCCGACACTCTATCCACTGAGCCAAACCGGCTAGGGCGGTATTCTTTAGTATTTGAATTTCATTTTTAAAAATCTTAGTAAAATATCCTTTAATTTTAACTGACATTTTATTGGCCTAGGGAGGAAGGAAGGACCAGTATTTGTAAGTGGACACTTGCTTATATCACACCAGCAGTCTGAGCCCTTTTTTTTCCTTATGGACAATTTGAAAAGACAGTTGAGAAACAGGCTTTCAAGGGTAACTTTATGTATAAGGGTGGATTATATTTACTTTCAGAGTTTTCTGTGTTGGATATATATAGTCAGTTCTCTAACATGAAGGCTAATCAATTTTCAAAGAAAGGTGTGGACACAGAGTGGCCTCAGGCAGAACTAGGAAGTAGTCAGAATTGATATTTGGTGTTTCCTGCTTCTGGACTTACCCTTTCAATCCCTACCTCCCCTTCAGAAAACAGATGGGAAGTAGGTTGTCCTGCTTGTTCTACAACTGGATTTCATCTCAGTATTAACTTGGTATTTCCCCAAATCATCACATAGAAATCTGCCTCATACTTTTCAGCAGCTGTAAAGGATGTACTTATACTATCATTTATTTCATCAGAACCACGGGGATAAACACTTAGCATTACCATTAAAATTTTTCCCCTTATTTATTGATTTGAGAGAGAAACTTCTATTTGTTTTTCCACTTATTTATGCATTCATTGATTCTCGTATGTGCCCTGACCAAGATTTGAACCCATAGCCATGGTGTATCGGGATGACATTCTAACCGAGTAAGCTACCTGGCATAAAATTCATATAATATTAGTACTAAATTCATAGATATACGTTATTATAAACTAAAAAGGACTATTTTGAATTGTACAATATATGAAATTTTCATAGCTCAAGAGAAAAAGTAACTCTGAATGATAGTCTTACAATATTTTTTCCTTTCTCCTAGATTTAAACAGTCAAGTTAAATCAAGCTGGGTAATCATGGCAGAAGGAGGATTCGATCCCTGTGAATGTGTTTGCTCTCATGAGCATGCGATGAGAAGGCTGATCAATCTGGTGAGATGAACAGGACAGTCCTATTCAGAACTGAACTGTACTGCTTCTGCTCTGTTTTTGTGAAAATGCTATGGAAAGATTTTCATCTGATGGTCACTAAAATTATTTCCTAGTTGGAATTCCACAGTGGTTTAAGTTATGGTTAAAATACTTACCAGCAATTATTTTATTAAAGATAAAAACAAATTTCTTTATTTATGTTAGTGAAATTCCCCATCATTGTTGGGTAACATTCTGCCTATAGTTATTAGCTATATGGAGCTTGTTTACCTGATAAATTGCTGTGAAGTCAGTTTCTGTTAATGATATAGTTCAAATCCTACTCCTTCAAATGGTATGACAATAAAAATCTCTTTGTAAAGCATTTCAAAATCCAAATTATTTAACAGAGGCAGATTTCTGACCAACATTCTTTGTTTGGATAGTAGTCTATAGACTTTGAAGGAGGTTTGAATTGTGGTGTTTTTAAGATTTCCCAAACTTATAAGCTTAAATATGGGGCTATTTATGCATTATACTTTTTATGTACAAAAGGAGAAATTTAACCATTATTAACAATAAAGCATATTGTTATGTTATACATTATAACATTTTGTTGTTTTAGAATACTCTTATACAAAGGTATATTGTCATTGGCCAGTTAAAGGCAGGCACCAACATTTGCTCAAATATTTGAATTGTTGGTAGTTAATAAGGTTTTCTGCTGACTCAGTGTCTATATATAGTAATCAGAAGTGTATTTCTTATAAGTGATATTTCTTTTTAGAATCAGCATATACTAAGACATATGATCCTCAAGAATGCATTAGAGGGAAAGCAATAAACTAAGAACTTATAAATTAAATCTTACTCTTGTGGATATAGAAATATAATGGCAATGTCATATCTGTGATAACGAAAGAATATTTTAAAAAATACTGAGGAAAGAATATTTTTAAAAATATTTTCTCCTGTGTATTCATGAAGTTAAAGAGCTGATAATTTTTATTTCTATATTCAGATATTAGGAACAACTTTTAGGTCATATTTTACTCTTTCAACCCCATAGCTAATGCAGAAGAAACAAATCCTTTAAGCTCAAAACATACCCTTAAAAACATATCCAGAATCCAGGCATTTCTCACACCTTCAGTGCAACATCCTGGTCTAATCTATAATCATCTCTTGCCTGGATTATTGAAATTAGCCTTCTTATAGGTCTCCTCTTGCCATCCCTGACTCCCCTCAGGTTCAGTCTCACTACAGCAGCCAAAGTAATCTATTTTTGATAAATGATAAAGGAGTGGGGAAAAGCTGTCTCAAAAGAATGTGATACTCTAAATCTCAGACAAAATATAATTCAAAGCCAAAACAATGAAATGGGACACGGGAATTACTAATATATTGACCAAAAAAACCCAGTTCATCAAAAAGATATAAACCTTTATGTTCTGAACAACAGAGAATGCAAAAACTACTAGAAATACAAAAAGAAGTGTTTTAGAAGTATCTGAGAAATGCTAGTGAAAGCCATAGGGATGCCTTTGCAGGTTAGAGAGAGAGGTGTGCAGGTCAGTATATGTTTGTAAGTGCATAGAAGCGGTTCCAAGCGATATACCTCAGACTCCTAACAGTTACATTGGGGAGAGTTTGAAGGAAGTCGGGTACTATTTTAAGTCCATAGAAAGCATCTAATGTAGGTTTTCCTTTCACAAATGAGGAAACTGAGATAAGAGAGGTTAAGTCACTTTTCCCAGGTGTTGGAGTTGACTAGAGGGTGGCAGGGGATGCTCAATCTGACAGCTTAACTCCAGGCCCTGCCCTGCTTCTTTAGTACCATGCTCTGCTCCACTGCCTGTTGATCTCCTTCAGGCATTTAAAAAGCACTATATTTGAAATCAAGGGCGGGGGGGATGGAGGGACATCTGTAATACTTTCAACAACAAAGATAAATTTAAAAATAAGTAAATAAGTCCTGGGATGTAAAAAAAGAAAGAAAGAGAAAAGAGAAGAAGAAAAGAGAAGAGAAGAGAAAAGAAAAAAAGAAAAACCAAAGGGGCAGTGGAAGGATAGGAGAAAGGAGGAGAAAGACTCTTCATTATATTTTTACTAGAGGCCCAGTGCACAAGTTCGTGCACCAGTGGGTTCCCTTGGCCTGGCCTGCGGGATCAGGCCAAAAGCGGCTCTCCAACATCCCCCGAGGGGTCCTGGATTGCGAGAGGATGCAGGCCAGGCCGAGGGACCCCACCGGTGCACGATTGGGACCAGGGAGGGGCACAGGAGGTTGGCCAGCTGGGGAGGGACTGCAGAAAGGCTCCAGGGTGTATCTGGCCCTTCTCGCTCAGTCTCAATCAGCCAGACTCCAGCAGCAAGCTAACCTACAGTTGGAGCATCTGCCCCCTGCTGGTCAGTGCACATCATAACAACTGGTTGACTGGTCAACTGTCTGCCCCCGGTGGTCAGTGCACATTTTAGCGAGTGGTTCAGCGGCCTTAGCATATCATTAGCATATTACGCTTTGATTGATTGGACGACCAGACACTTAGCATATTAGGCTTTTATTATATAGGATGTTTAAAAAGTTGTGAATATGCCCTAGTCCCGTGGTCGGCAAACTGCGGCTTGTGAGCCACATGCGGCTCTTTGGCCCCTTGAGTGTGGCTCTTCCTAAGCCTAAGGAGTACCCTAATTAAGTTAATAACAATGTACCTAACTATATAGTTTTAAAAAATTGGCTCTCAAAATAAATTTCAATCGTTGTACTGTTGATATTTGGCTCTGTTGACTAATGAGTTTGCTAACCACTGCCCTAGCCGGTTTGACTCAGTGGATAGAGCTTTGGACTGTGGATTGAAGGGTCCTGGGTTTAATTCTGGTTAAAGGGCACATACCTCAGTGGCAAGCTCGATTCCTGGCTCTGGTCGGGGTGCATGTAGGAGGCAACCAATCAATGTTTCTATCACATGGATGTTTCTCCCCTACCCTTCCACTTTCTAAAAATCCAGGGAAAAATATCCTTGGATGAGGTTTAATAAAAACAAAAAACCTGCAAAACAAAACAAAAGGCTGTGTGAATGTATTGTCTATTCAAATAATTAATTTAAAAAGAAAACTTTGTAAGCACCTTCGAAGGTATTACAAGCAGTACAGTTATATACAAAAATTTGTAATTACAGACTTTTTCCACTGGAGAATAAAATTTTTGAATGTACTCTTAGGTGATTTGAAAAGAAAATACTGTATTTTACAATGTTTGGCTTTTCAATAATTCTAATAAGATTTTCTTCTCTTCTTTGACCTTCTTTTAATTTCTAAACTGGTAGAATTTTTTCTCATCAGAATGTAAAACATACATATAAAAATAGAAAAAATGTGTATGTCCCCTAAGGCTCAGTGATACAAATAGCAATTCAGACTCTTCTCTACTGCCTCATCAGTATTTATATACGTTTTGATTACTTAAAGTGAGTTGTACCAGAACAAAGAATATAATCTGGCCAAAACCGGTTTGGCTCGGTGGATAGGGCGTCGGCCTGCGGACTCAAGGGTCCCAGGTTCGATACCGGTCAAGGGCATATACCTTGGTTGCAGGCACATCCCCAGTGGGGGGTGTGCAGGAGGCGGCTGGTCGATGTTTCTCTCTCATCGATGTTTCTAACTCTCTATCTCTCTCCCTTCCTCTCTGTAAAATATCAATAAAAAATATATTAAAAAAAAAAGAATATAATCTGATTTTCATTCATTGTATTGTCTATCTGCAATATGGACTTTCAAGTAAATGATTGTATCTCTGATTATATTTATAGGAATGTTTTAAAATGATACATTATAAACGGCATTTAAGTTCAAGGTTGATAACACTGCAGTACAAAAAATGCCCAATTTGGGGTGCTGGTGACAAAGCTTTACTTACTCTCTTGGCATATCTCGTCCTGTGATTTAATTATATCACTGAGTTACACAAGTGTTAGACTGTTCTTCATGCAGTAGTATTTTGCTGGGTGCATGTATGTTTCTGTTTGTCTCAGGAATGTTCAAAAACATTAAAAATGGAGGTATTGCCCAGCCGGCATGGTCAGTGGTTAAGCATCAACCTATGAACCAGGAGGTCATGGTTCAATTCCCGGTCAGGGCACGTTCCCCGGTTGCAGCCTCAATCCCTAGTGTGGGGTATGCAGGAGACAGCCGATCAATGATTCTTTCTCATCATTGATGTTTCTATCTCTCTCTCCCTCTCCCTTCCTCTCTGAAATCAATAAAAAAATATGTTAAAAAAATGGAGGTATTACCTGACATTACAGATATTTTTCTTAGTCTGATACTCTTCAAATACTGCCTAATAGGACTCAAAGGAGGTAGATATGAATATATAGTAAGTCTGTCTCAATTAAAATTAGGTATCTTTGTCATGTTACATATAATTCTGTGTTTTATTACTTGACTTAATATGGGAATATACATAGTGATAAAAATAAGGATATTTAGTGATGTAGAATATGTAGTAAGATGCCAACATAAAACCATAATCTAATTATAAGTTATTCTTTTATGTTGTCTAGTATTTTTTGTCCCCCATCTGAAGTCAGTACTCTTTTTTTTAAAAAAAAAAAAAAAAAAGAGGTATTTAAAATTACTGTATCTAGTTTTGGGTTGTTTATTTATTTTTATTTTTCAAAACATTATTTCAGAGAGGAAGAGAGAGAGATAGAAACATCAATGATGAGAGAGAATCATTGATCGGCTGCCTCCTGCACGCCCCACGCTGGGGATTGAGCCTGCACCCTGGGCATGTGCCCTGACAGGGAATTGAACCATGACCTCCTGGTTCATATTCAACCACTGAGCCATGCCAATTGGGCTAGTTTTTGTTTGTTTTAAAATATTCATTTTTCCTTAAACCATACAAACTGCCTGGAGAGGGGCTTTTTTTTTCCATTTCCATTGAAGCCATATGTAAACTTACTCTGGCTTCATCCTTTCCTCCTCCCTTGCCACCACCTCCTTCTCATGTTTTCCTGACT